CTCAGCTCTTGCCAGGCTGGGTGGGGTGAAGGAGGGGAGCTGTGGCTTTTTGGGATATGGGAGGAAGGACAGACTGTTGGTACAAGCAGGTTCTCCTCCAGGTACCAAAGGCAGAGCCAGCCCCCCACCCCCCAATCCACGATATCAGAAGTGGACCAAATCTCCCACTCTCCATTTCGTCTGTGTGACTCTGGCCACGTCCCTGCCCTATTTTAGTTTTCTCACATGTAAAATGAAGGGGTTGGAATAGTTTCCGAGGACGCTTCCAGCTTCAAAAGCGGATGAAATTCTCAGGGCCACAACTGGCTGTCTGGGTGGGGCTCAGCTGAAGGAGGGAACACAGGGGACAGACATGTCTGCTTTCCTTACTGTCAGCCCAGGAACCCTGGCATCTGGCTCGCCAGAGTCTCTGAAACCTTCCAATCTTGGGCTTCACCTCAGCACTCCTCTAGGATTACCCCATAAGTAGCTGCTCCCATGAAGGCCAGACAACAGAAGAAGGGGAAAAAGTCTCCTGGAACCTAGGAAGAATAGCGATCTCAAAATAACCAGGCTTCCTGGTCCCTGCCCCAGCTCAGCTCAGTCCAGCCCAGCCCAGCCCTCCATCCCCTATCCATCTCACTGTCTAAATATTTGGAAAGCCGGAAAGTTCTCAGTGGCTTCTGTATCCTCAGTGTTAATTCCCCAACTCTGGTCCCCACTCCCTGCTACCCTCCCCAGCGGTGGGCCTCTCCCCCTCATCAGTACAGGAGACTTCAAGATTTCAAGGGCTTCTTTCCCCATCAGACAAGTTGCTCCTTCCAGCTCCCCCCACCAGAGTCATCTCATATACTGCCACCCCACCCCCATCCCTAGTCCTTAATCAAGTTTGTTCCCTAGGGGAGATGAAGTGCCCCAAGGTGAAAGGAATGTCTGGGAGATGACTGGAGGAAGAGGATGGAGCTGGGGCGGTGGAGGGGGGTAGGGGTAAGCTGATGAATGGTAGAGTACAAGAAAGAAAACAGAGGGGCGGTGGCAAAAGTGGGGAGGGGAGGAGGTAGCTCATAGACCACATGGAAGCATGTTCCCATCCAAATGTTGGGAAGTGGGCCAAGGGACCCAAAGCACTATGCATCCAAGTCCCAGGTGAATGAGCATCGCAAGCTTCCTATTCACAGGGCGAAACCCTTAGGATCTCAAAGCACTCAATTTCTCCCCGTCCATTGTCCATTGATGGCCCTGGCGTGATGGAGGTGGAGGATAGGCTTCCAGCCTCAGCCCAAGCCCTTCTAACCTCTATGCTTTTCCCCAAGTTCACAGTTCCTTTCTGTGAACCCCAAAGTGAGTGAGGTCTCTTCTAGACCTCTGCATGCCTTTGGGGGTCAAGGAAGGGGCTGGAGGCACAGCCCCTAATCTGGGGCACCAGAGGGGATGGTGAATTGGCATCTTGGCTGGAGGGTGAGTAGAAGAAAACAGCTTGACAGATGAATCCCACTTCCCCTTTCCGGACCATGTGGGCTCCACCCTCTGCGATGTGCCTAGTCCTTTTCAGCCTGGCTGGTTTAGGCCCAGCACATTCTTCAGACCAAGCTGCGTGATTCCGCAGCACAGGCTTCCTTTTGGCCACTAGGGGGCACTCTTTGACCAGCCTTTTCAGTACTGAACATGGTGTCATGAAGACCTGGATTCAAATACCATCTCTAGGGTGTATCAGTTGTGTGACCCTAGATAAGTCATTTAACCTCTGATCCTATTTGCTCATCTGTAAAATTGGGGATTATAATTCCGTGTTGTTCCTACATCATAAGTGTGAGGCTCACATAAGTAAAAATGTGTAAAAAATGACGTCCTTGGGGGGGGTGGGCTGTGATTGGTCCAGGGCCCCAAGCCAGGATGAGCACGCAGGGATCGTCTCTCTCAATCCCAGCGCTCTTTTCCCTGTCTGTGACTGGGGGTGTTTGAAAGTCAGACGAAAAGAGCTAGGCTGAACGCTGGCAAGAGGAAAAACCACTTCAGGGTAATGGCTGATAAAATTTGAATGTATCACACTACCATACGAAGTCCCTTCCTTCCCTCTCTGCCTTAGTTTTGTCATCTGTCAGATGACAGGGTAGGACAGGATGGTCTCTCACGGTCCCTTTGAAGTGTGGCATGCTGGGGTTTTAAGTTAGGGAACCACGGGGCAGAAGATGGATAAGTACAGTGGGACCAGAGTCTGAGCCAAAAGTCCCACCTGGAAGGAATCACAGGACATTGAAGCTGAGACAAGGCAAGAAAAGAGATCCAGCACAGAGGGAAGGGGAATGCGCAATCGCACCTACTCATAGCTCTTGGGCGTGGCAGGGTGGGGCCCTGACTGGAGAGGGCAGGCCTGGGAAGCACACCCCTGGAGGCGGGCTGGGTTTTTTTGGGGGGTGGGGCTGGAGTGGGATTCGGGAGGAGTCGGTCGGGAGCTGACTTCCCCATACACGGCTCCTCTTGGGAGCCGGGGAGCTCCTAAGTAGGGATCGTAGGGCCCGGGGCCGGGCATGGACTTTCTCAGTCAACCAATGAACCAACCGTGGCGGGGTCCGGGGCGAGAGCTGTGCAAGAGACGCTCTGCCCTTAGAGGCCTTTCGGGCCCCAGATCCTTGGGGCTGCACGAGGCTCTCTGCTTGGCGACTGCCTCCCTCTGCTGGCCACCCGGAGATCGGTCCAATCTTCGAGCGCTGGAGAGGGATCTCAAAGCACTCAGCTCATGGCCCTCTCCTCCAGCCCACGGGACTCCACACTACGCTCGAGGAACCGGTCGGGGAGGATACAATTCATTCCCTATCATTCACTAATTGTTTATTTAGCTTAGACTTTGTTTGGGGGAGGGGGCAGTTAAACGTAGATGCGGCTAATGTTCCGGGCCTCATTTTTCCCATCTGTAAAATGAAGGCTGCTCCCCACGCCCGGAAGGCTCCATCAGTTCCCTTCAAGCTTCAGCGTCAGGGCCCGTCCAGTTATGCTGTGGCCCTCCGCCCTCCGCCCTCCCCCCTCCCAAAACGACCCTGCACCGGTCCTTCCTCGCAGACAGTGAGGCCTTTGAGGGCAGAGCCCAGGCACCCATTCCGCATGCGCACCCCCAGCTCCTCCCGGGATCTGGCCGGTACTTGCAGACTTATCCAAGGCTCCTTCTAGCCTCCGCTTCTAGGCTCTCTGTCTGTTTAAATACTCATCAAAGGGCTCCTAGGTAACAGCAGCCCGCGGCGCAGGCACTCCCGGAGGTTTGCACGAGCAGAGGTCAGGCTGCACGCTGGGGTGAAAGAGGGAGCCGTCCAGCAGCAGCCACAGGCCACGTCCACTCCCGCAGCCGAGCTAGGCCCCGGCTAGCTTCCCCCAGAAGCAAATAATGCCCACAGTTGCTTCCTGGGTGTCTAGCAAAAAGGCAAATGGCTTAACCTTTTCAGGCCTCAGTTTCCTTCTCTGTAAAATAAGGGAGAGAGTTAGACCCAATGGTCTCTAAGATCCCGGCAAGAAATATGGCATAGTAAAGGCTGAATTTGCCCTCAGGGCTTTGAGTCCCAGTGAATTGGGTGACTGACACTGCTTCCCTAGGACCTGAGGGATTGGACAAAAGGAGCTCCGAAGTCCCTTGCAGAGCTCCGCCAGGAGTCTTTTGGCCTTATATCCCACGATCTTGTTCCATTTTGGCCTCTCCAACCTTTAGGCCCTAACCCCCATCTACTAACCCTTCCACCTACCGTCTGGCCCCCTCCCCCTCAATTTGGCTGCCTCACTCACCTCCAGGAAGCCCACTGGGGTTGACCCCTGACCATTCCTCCCAGTAGAGGAAGAATGGCACTTTGTGGCAGAAGAAACAAGGACTGGACACTTCTTGATCCACTCCTAACTTGTCTGTCTTGGAAATCAGGGCCTTTCTCATCAGCTTGTTGGAGCTGTGTCTCTGCAGCCAGGCCCCTCCCTGCCTGACAAGGGGCAAAAGGTCTCCGGTCCCAGGGGATGTGGGCAGCCCATCCCCTTGTGGTGCTGGGGTGGCCGAGTGCCCTCTACCTTTACTAACCCTTATACAAATCCGACTCGTCCCTCCAGTCTATCAGCCTGCTGCTGGGCCCCTTCTGGGCAGCTGCCTCTGCCGACCTCACACCCTGGAGTTCCACCACTTACTCCTCAATGGACACAGTTATCATGCAATTAAGTCCTGTATCGTGCTTCACTGTATTCTCCAAGGTGCCTCGCACAGGCACAGTGTTCTCTGATCAGTGCCTGTTCAATAAACTTGGATCACAAGGCCTTTTCATTCAGGAGGTCCTTGCATACCACTGAATTCCTGACTGAGCCTGTTTCCTCATCTATTAAATTTGGCTAACACTTGTATTACCCACTTCATGGTCCAGAGCAAAACTGTAAAACTATTTAGATTAAAACCAGTTCATGCCATTTCAGTAGCAATTTGGAAACTGTTCTGGGCAGCTGGGTGGCTCGCTGGATACAGAGGGCCTGGAGTCAGGAAGATCTGAATTCAAATGCAGCCTCAGACTCTCACTAGCTGTGGGACCCTGGGTCCTCATCTGGAGAAGGGAATGGTGAACCACTCGACCCCGAATGGCATTACCACACGTCAGACACAACTGCACAACAGCTTTGAAGGTATTTTAGTGTAGGTACTAGAGACACAAGAAATCGATACAGCTCTGACATGGGTGCTCATAATTTCGATAGGGAGACAGGCCGACTTCCATGAAACAATAGGAGGGAAAGCAAACACGGCATGCTAGAGGGGACAAGGAGGAGGAAGGGAGCTCAGAAAAAGGCAGGCATGGGACGACGTGCTCAGCTCCTGGCTGGGGCCCTGGGGGGAAGGGAAGTGGCCGGTGGTGACGTAAATCTGAGCAGAATCTCTCCGTGTCCCATTTCTGCATCCGGAAAATGGGGAGGCTGGCCCGGCTCACAGGGCTCTTGTGGGAAAAGCCCTTTGTAAAGCAAAAAACATTCTCCACCTGTGAATTATCACAAAAGGGGAAGAGAGCCAGCCCAGGTAGTCACTGTATTTTATTGGAAAACATTGATCTATATTTTTCTTCACAGCTTGAACTGAACACAATATTGCCCGGTTTAAAAAAGAGAACAAAACAAAATAAAACCACTCCCCAATAGCCATAGCCTCATCCCACCTTGCTTGCCCACCATGGCCCTTGGCCGGGTTTCCACCTCCCCTTCCCCTGGGAGGAAGGCACCAGGGGGTGGTTCAGGAGAGAGAAATCTCGTGTCAGGCCTGAGAAGGGTCAGTTTGATCCACCTGGGCACTGGGGGTTGGGGGTGTGAGAGGGAGAGAGAGGGAAAGAAGAACCTAAGGAGGAAAAAAGACCAGTCTGCCTATGGCTCCTTCCTCATCCCAAACGTTAATTAAGAGAGAAACGGCTGTTGGTAAGAAGAGAGTTTGCTGATCATGCTATCTGGCAGCGGAGTGAGGGAATGACTAGCAGAGACATAGCAACAGACGTGAGCGCCACACAGCTACAAGCGCGAGTCACTAGAGATGCGCGGTGGGCCGGGCAGGGGGAGCACGGACGGGCCCTCGTGGGGGCTCCTACATCGCTCTTATTGCAGCTATGATCAAGAATGGGAGCTGGGTCACCCCCCACCCCCAAGCTATATATGGATTTTGTCCGAAGAAGAAAAAAACAGATCAGAGTCAAGCACACTGCCAAGCGACCACTGACACGTTCACTCAAACTGCGGGACTGGAGCGGGACCGGAGCGGAAAAGCCGGCAGGGGTGGGGAGAGCGGCGGGGGACGTTAGCACCAGATATTTACAGAACAGCTCAAGAGACTGCTTTAGGAGTATGGACATTTACAATTTATACAAGGTGCCGAGGGAGCAGGGACACCTCTCCCCTCCTCTCCCACAGGCCAAAACTTGGTCGAGCCAATCGCTGGATTATTTGGGAAGAAAAGCCAATGGGTTTTGTAATGTTGTCCATCCCTACCTCATTTCCTTTACCCGTCCTACCCCCAACCAGTGTCTGGAATTCCCTTCTCTTTGATTTCAAACATTTTCCTCATGCCCACCTACCACCCACCCCAAGACCTCATGTTGGAACTCCTCTAGGCCTTTCACCATGGCCCCCCCAGAAGGTTTTGAACACAGAACCACAGTGCCAGACGCATGCAAACATCTAAAGGGTTTGGCTTTCCTGCCCCAGGTAGGGTGTGACACTCTTCCCCACTCTGCTGCAGCTCCCAGCACGGGGCCAGCACTGGCCACCGAAAACAGGGTGAGAAATCAAAGGGAGAGGAGGAAACCCACGGAGAGCCACGAAGGCAGAGATCCCCTGTGTGGTTTTTTGGGGTGGGGAAGGGTGTGTCTGAGGGGTCAGCTCAGGTGCTGGGATGTCCAAGGGCAGAGAAGGAAGAATGAAGGGAGATCAAAGAGCAGTCATGCAGCTTGGGACAAATCTCGTGTTGCTTTATGTCGGATTCTCAGTCGTCAGTCAGGGTTGGCTTAGAACCAGGTTATGCGAGTAAGAGTGTCGGAGAGAGAGCGCGCGAGAGAGAAGAGAGATCAAAGGAGAACGGGCATCACCAGCTGCCCGGGGCCTTCACTTCGCGGTCATCATCTGTACAAACTCTGCAGAGACAAGACAGGGGAAGGAACGTGCATCAGGCCTGGGGAACCGACTCTGGGCCTGAGCCCCACAGCCTGCTCGCTGAAGGCACAATGCGCCTCTGACATTTTCCGTGAACTAGGACACGGGCAAGGGATGCTGGAGGATGTCACGGATGTTGGGAAGCCCGCACCTAGGGTAGCTCCCACAAACCAACCCTCTGCCTTCCCAACTAGCTGCCGCCCGACTTGCCTCGGGCTCAGCCTAAGCCCTGGGTCGGGGCGATGGAGGGGCAGACACACCTTCATAGTTAACTTGGCCGTCACCATCGATGTCCGCCTCTCGGATCATCTCGTCCACCTCCTCGTCAGTCAGCTTCTCCCCAAGGTTGGTCATCACGTGACGAAGCTCTGCGGCGCTGATGTAGCCATTCCCATCCTGGAGGAGCAGATGAGAAAAGGCCTCATGTCTGCACACAAGTGCCGCCTCCACACTTCCCCAAACTTTTCCATGCACCACCTCATTTAATTCTCAAAGTGACCCCGTAGTGCAGGCCAGTGCTCCCGACTCAGCCTGAGGGAGGGCCCAGGCGTGGGGGAGAAGGGAGCCCTGCACACTGGAGACCATCTGCCCACCTTGTCAAAGACACGGAATGCCTCTCGGATTTCTTCCTCACTGTCTGTGTCCTTCATCTTCCTTGCCATCATGGTCAGGAATTCAGGGAAGTCAATGGTCCCATTTCCTGGAAGTGGGTGCTCAGGTTAGCAGAGTTGAGAATGCAACAACACAGACCATGCTCTCAGCTGGCACTTGGGAGATGACTTCTGGCCCCAGGCTGGAAATGCCAAACTCCAGCACAGGGGTACGAGGGGTGCCCACGGGCCCACCCGTCCACCCAGCTTCCGCAGGGCTCACCATCTGCATCCACCTCATTGATCATATCTTGGAGCTCAGCCTCAGTTGGGTTCTGACCCAGGGATCGCATCACCGTCCCCAACTCCTTGGTGGTGATGGTCCCGTCTCCATCCTTATCAAACAGGGAAAAGGCCTCCTTGAACTCTGAAATGCGAGAGCACAGGGTCAGAGGTGGAAGGGATATTTCATTACATACAAGCTGTGTGTCAGCTCGGTCTGGCACAAGAATCCCGTCCCCCCTAACCACCCTCACTGTTAAGAGCAGGTCAAGAGGAAGAGAACCCAATTCCAGCCTCAGCGTTCAAAAGTATCTGTGTGACAGCCTCTCGAAGGACCCTGGCCCCTAACCGGCTCCACTGACTCCTCCGGGGCCAAATTACCCCTAAGGTTACCTGAGCAGTGGGCCCCAGCCCAGCTCTAGGCCTGGGGAGAGAGTAGGCAATTCCAAACCACTTTGGATGCATAGTTTTTAGCCTTTATCTTTACCCAGCCTCTTTCCAAAGTTGAGAGAGAAGGCCACAAGAGGTACCAGCAGTCCCTAAGATGAAGCCCAAGGAGATGCAACCCATGTAATCGCTTTTGCCAACCCAGATTCCTGTCCCCCCTCCTCCATTTGCCGAGCTGGCAGTTCTCTGTGGTGAGGTATGGGGGTGGGCGGCAGCGGTGCATGGATGGACGGACAGTGCGTGGGGAGGGTGGGCTGGCTGCCGAGCCAGAGGGATGAGAAGCTGCTGGGTGCTGAGTGGGAAGGCTGCAGCTGGGGCTAGGATGGGAGCAGGGAGGCGGGCACATGGCTCCTATCTTCCCACTGGGTTCATTCTGGCACCAGATGCTCCTGAACCCCCAATTCCTCTTCAGGGCTGCTGAGAATAGGAGATGTTCAGTTGCCATTCCCCAAAGGGTATTGTCTAGGGGGGTGTTTTGTTAACCAGGAAAGGGAAAGAAGAGGTAGGTGTATATGCGTGGGGAGAGGAGGAGGAGGAGGACCAGTGGTGGTGGCTGGGCAGGCAAACCTCACGCAGCTGTTCCCACGTGCCTGCTGGCTCTCACTATCTGTCTCACTCAGGATAGCATCACCATACTTTTGCCAAAGCCCACTGGGTCCTCTAGAGCACGGCCTGTGTCCTACAGGTTCACTGTTCTTAAGGAATGCTCAACGACATGATGACTGAGGGCCTGGACTCCTGGCCACATAAGCCACATGGTGAGGATGGAGGGAAGCCAAGGTGACCACAGCTCCAAGAAGCCAGGCAGGCCCAGAGAGAATAACCTCAGGTCAGATCTCCACCTGGGACACATGCTCAGAGAAGGCTTTTCTAAGTGAATGAGAAGCACGGAACCAGATTTCTACCATTACCCTGCTGGGGCTGAAGGTGCCCTAACACAGGGAGTCCCAGAGCCCAAGTCATGAATGAGCTTCACTCAACATGGCAGTCAGGACGTGGCTCGCTGGTGATGTCCAGCTACAGTCACTCAGCAAACAGCATTTAAGAGGCAGCACGCAGCACAAAGAACAGCAAAGTGGGGCTAAGGAGGTCTGGGTTTGCCTTGTGGTGGTGGCTAAGCTGGTGCACCTCCAAGCCTCGGGGTCCTCAGCTGTGAAATGAGACACTGCCACTGCCGCCCTCCCAGGTGTCTGGCAACGGGAGCACGTCCCCAGGACCTCTGTGCAAGGTGCTGGAGGGAGCAACAGTGCGCAGCAGAGTCCCAGGGGCATTCCTGCCCCTTCCCCAGGGCTAGCAGGCAGGCGATAACAACAGGGTTACAGGAATCGTGGGGCTGGGAGACACTTGGCTTAGTTGCAAATGTGTCCCTGGAGGGTGTGGGGAGCGGGGGAGGAGGACTCACCTGCGATCTGCTCCTCAGTCAGCTGGTCAGCCTGGAAAAGCACCAAAAAGAGGAGTCTGTCACTGGGCTGGCTCACAGCCATCATCAACCCCCCCCCCCCAATTCTTCAAAGAATTTCTCCTTTCCACCTCCTCAGGATGAAATGCAGAGAGAAGTCAGCGTCCCTCTTGGGGACAAAGCAGCTGGGGGGAGGGTGGCAAGGGGCTTGGGGTAGGGGCAGAGCCTTTTCTGGAGCTATTCAGAAGGTCAAGGGCTATATAGGTTGGAAATTCAGTTCTGGATCATTTGTATAGAATGGAGAGACTGATGGGTGGGGGTGGGACTGCATGCTCCTGCAGGTATTCTGCCATGATGTGGTGGAAGGTGTGTGTGGGGGGGATGAAAAGGGCTCCCTCCTCCCAGCAACGGCATTTTCAAGGGGAAAGAAGCCTCCCTGAGCTATGAGTTTGTGCCTTTACGGTGTCATTGAGGAGGCAGGGAGCTTCTTCCCGAGAGGCCTAAGCAAGCAGGTCTAGAAGGTTCTGCCAAACTGAAACAGGTCAGTTCTTGAGCAGGGGGAGGGAGTGGAAGTGGCAGCACAGACCTGCACCATTAACCCAAATCCTGTCCCGGTGTTGCCTGCGTATAACAGGAAGCCTAAGGGTAAAGCATTCTTCCAGGACTGCCACACTCCAGGGCTGGGGGCTGAGCCCCATCTGGGCTAGCAGGCAGGGGCAGGGCCTGCTCGATCCGCCCCACCCCCTTCTCTGGAGGGCCAGGGAAGAGTGCTGTTCCGTTCTCCTCAGACTTGAGGGGCAGCTGTCAGGGAGGGGACTGCAGTAGTGGCAGCCACTGCAGGCTTGAGCTGGCTTCCCTCGCCACACTGCAGTGCTTTTTAACCCTTTCTCTCCCTTGCTGCCATCCCAAGCCGACAGGTCAGGCCGGGCTGAGGCTGGTCCGTGCTGTACTGCAGGGGCCCTCCTCCTGGGGCAGGAATGCACTTTGGGATGCTTGAAAGCAAGCCAGGTCACAGAATGGGGGGAAGAGCCAACTGAGTACAGTGATGCCTAGGCGAAGGGCCGGCCCATGCTGCTGGCCCAGAATTCCTCAGAGGCAGCTCAGAATCTCTGCCCTGGCCCCACAAGACGCTGTACAGGGGCCCGCTCCGCTTGGATCACTGGCTCAGACAATGCCCCAAACTTCCTCTCAAGATCAGTGGTAAGAAGGCTCCTATGGCTATAACAGATATCATTTCTTTTTTTTCCCTTTGGGAAAAGGAGACTTCAGACCCACAGAAAACAAGGCATGATTGAGCAGAATGGGAGGGATGTCCAAGTCATGGAGGAAAGGAGGGGAACAGAATGAGCCATTCTGAAGAGAAGCCAGGGTGATGGGAAGAGAAGGCCTTGCCTTTCTCCAGCCTCACTAGCCAGAGCTGCCCTCTTCTCCTGCCCCCACATGGAGGCCACAGTGCCAGCAGCTGAGCTGTGCTGGAGGAGGCCAGGCCAGGGCAGCAGCCCTTCAGAGGCCTGCAATCTCATTCAATGGGCTCCAGCTTCTAAAAGACAAAAGAATCTGCCCTGGTCCCCTCCATCCCGACACCTGAGGACAGAGATCACAGAAGGAGCGAGGGAAGCAGGGCTTCTCATCAAGGCCCATGCCAGAAAGGAAAAGGAGCAAAAGTAGGGTCAATTCTCCTGACAGACACATGCTAGTCCAACACTACTTTACTGTGAGCAGGCCAATGGCTCCCTGGCCAGGGCCAGTGCTGCAGGGGGTTGGGGAGGGAAGGCTGTAGGAGGCAGAGCCAGCCTGCTGTTCCCTACCTCCATATTCTAGTCTCTAAGCTGGGTGACTGAAAGGATGGGGAATGGCCCCAAGTGCCACAGGTACTGGGGGAGAGCAGACACTGAGGCAGGGCCCTCAGGCCATCCAGGGAGCAGGTCAGCAGGCTAGACCAAAGCCCCCACAGGGGAAAGGATTCCTTCCCTCCCACCCAAGTGGAAGCTAGTGCAGTGACGACAAGGCAACCTGCTGTGGGCCCCCCAGAAGTGCTTCTGAGGTGGAAGACCCTGGAAGCTGGCACCAGGCAGGATTCAGAGCCTTCTTTCAGAAGAGTGCTGCTGGAGAGAGGAGGGAGCCCAAGGCAAGTGAGGCTTCTCTCTCAGCCAATACCAGCATGACGGGAATGTAGGGTTTTTTTGGGTACGTGTGTGGGGAGGGCGCGGGGGCGTGTCGCAGAGTGGGGAAGAACGATTCTTCCTTTTTTCTCTCAAAGTTCTAGCTGTGCCAAGGAGGAAACAAACATCTGGGACAAGTCACTCACCATCTCGGTCTCCTCAGCTAGAAAATGGAGGAGCTTGACGAAGTTTGTTGCTCAGGTCTGACATTCTATGCATGACTAGGCCCAGGAGGAGGCCAAGAGGGCTTGGCTTGGGAGGCCAGAAGCCTTATCGGTGGCGTGACTGCTCCTTAAGTCAATTGGTGGTGGTGGGGTGTTCTGAAAGTCACCACGGGTCAAGTCCCAATAACCCCCTCCACCTCCTCTAGTGAGGGGGCTAGGGCCTATCACTGAATCAGAGGGGAGAGTTCCTTGGGAAAAATCTCACTGGCAGTCTGGTCCAAGTCTGACACCAGGCACCAGGTACCACAGCCAACAAGTGATGGGCACTAGATTCCCAGACAACCCTCAGGACCAGGAGAAAGGAGGTACCACGTTGGTTGGCTGTTTCAGAGGACATAGGCAAGACCGTGGGGCTGCAGGCTGCATGCAGCAGGACAAGAATGCCAGCCTTTCCCCTTGGGCAGAGGGAGCCAGCCCTCCTCTGCTGGGAGGAGGTCTTCCAGGCTTCCCCATGAACCCTTATTCTTTTTTCTCCCCCTCAAACCTCAGTTTTATTGGATGCTACCCTGGGCAACTTCACCCACTAGCTCCTTCACTTGGCCAAATTCCATTGTGCTTGACCTCCTCTCTCCCAAAGCCCTGACCCCCCCACCCCAGATTGGAAATCCTTTATTCCAACCTTCCAGAAAACCCCCTCCAACCTCTAAACCTCTTCCCCCAATCTCAGTCCTCAATTTTCAATTCCACCTCATTGTACCAAAGAGAGTCCTTCCTACCCAGGCCTGTTTATCTAACACTCTGGCCCCCCCCCCCCAAGTGGGCAGGGCCTATGCTTCAAACTATCCTTAAAACCTCACTGTTGGCACAAACTCAATTCCCATGAAAAACCCATCTGTTAGCTCTACGCCCCTTCCACTCCCCTAATTCATTCTCTGTAACCTGGAATATTCTCCCAAACACTCTCAGTTTGTACCTCAGCCTGACCACTTGCACCTTCATCCACTTGCTAACACCCAAGCCCTGTCCATCATTCCCACAACTCCACCTCCTCTCTGCTCAGCCTGCCTCCCACCCAGATTCTCCCCCCTCCCCCAGGCCCTTCCCTTTCTGAGCCTTCATCCAGCACCATCCTCCTTCCCTAGTCTCTTTCCCCTGCCCTTCACCTCAAGAATTCCAAGAAGAGAAGACTGTTGTCTTCACCCCTTCCCTTCCCCCCTCCACTTCTGGGCCTGCCGAGCTCCTCTCTTATCCCAGTGCCTTGCTCAGGGCTTCCTCAACCCCTCCGTCTTCCTCCCTATTACACATGGGATCTCTCTCTCCCCTCTTTCAATTCCTTCTGCAAAGACACCAACCATGTCCCAGGCTCCAGGATCCAATTTATCATCCCACCCCTACCTGAAGGATTAACTGTCACCTCTTTCTTTTCCCTTTCCCCTCAATATACCAACTGCCCCCAACACCTGAGGAGCCAACATTCCTCAGCCAATCAGGGGTTCAGCCTCTGCCGTCTTCCCCCTCCCTTTCACTTCCACAAGGCTGCTCTGATCCTTTCCCCCAACAAATGGGACTGCTCTCTCTTTCTAATCATCACCATCCTCTTCAAGGTCTAGGCTTAACCTTCCATACAATCTTTTTTCTTCCCAAGGGTTCAAATGCCCCCTCTTTTCCTGGCAAAAACCAACCACTTCTGCCAGAGTCCTTTTAGTACCACTCCCCCCACCCCAACTACCACTCCTCTAATCCTTTTCTGAGTTGTTTTTGTCCTTCCCAAACCTCAGGCAACTCTCTCTACCTATTAATCAATTAACTCCACCATGGTCCAAGCGTAACCTCTCAGTATCAAACTTAGCAACCAACTGGGCCCCCCTCCTTGCCAAGGTCCTCTGTCAGGGACTAATACTGCCTCCTTCTTTAAATGCTCACCTTCACTGGCTCCCTTCTCCTGGACTCTCCCTCAGAACCAGTGTCTGCCCTCCCTCCCCAAGACCAACCTTTTCCCATCTTCTCTGATCTCTAGGAACCAGACACCCAACCTTTCTCTCAGGTAAATCTTTCTCCTCTCTGATAGGAACAATCCCTCACCCTGGTGGCTGCTTCATCTGGAACCAACTATCCTCAAGAGCCCCATCAGAATGAATCCCTTTCCCCATTCTATGTACACTAGCCAGCTGCCCCTCGAGATTCAACCCCATTAGGGTCCAAACCCTCCCCTCTCTCCCTCCAGGGTTTTCTCTTGGTCAGAACTAGCTCCCCTCCCCAGAGACCAACTCTCAGTGGTCTTTCCCAACAATAACGCAAATCCCCAGCCCAGGGGTCTCAACTGTTCTCCTGGTCAGAAGCTCCAGCCAGGTCCCACCCTTGTCTTCAACCCCCCCTTTAGGGACTAGCCATCTCCTTCACTTACAATCCACCAGCCCTTTAAATGTTCCTCCTTGTCAGGGTTCAACCCTCAACTGCTGTCTTCTTCCCCTTCCCTCCCCACTCCCTGTCAGTCTAACCCTCCCCCACCCTTCCAAGCACCAAACTCTTCTGCCCCTCCCCCCCTCCCTAGGGATCCTCTTATCAGGCTCCCAATCTCCATTTCAGGGTTCAATTCCCAATAACGGGTCACCCCACCCACTTCAGAACCATCTCCACCCCACCCCAACCATCTGTCCTCAAATGGAATTCTCTGCCAGAGTCAGGGTTCTATTATCTGCCTTCCTCTCGCCAGTGAAGAACATCTTTACTCGGTCCCCCGCCCCAAGCATCCAGGGGGTCTTCCCTATTAATAGAGTGCAACAGCTCCGCACCCCAAGTTCATGCCCATCCCCCCGGCCCCAATTCGTCTCTTTTTCTTTTCTGCCATCCCCAGACCATCCTCCCTCCAAAACTCCATCAGCACAGCTTCCCCCTCCCCCTTCCGCACACCCCATCACCCCCCCCCCCCGGCTCCTCCAGCTTGGAAATCAGCCACCCCTCCCCCCCTCCTCCCTGTCAGACACTGACATCCGTGCTGCTCGAGCCCAGAGTCCGCTCCTGCCCCTCCCTCCCCCAAGCAGCCTTCTTGGGGTCCTCTGGGACCCCCGCCGGCTCCTTAAGACCGAGGCTAGCCTCCCTCCCCCGCCCCTCCGGGGTTCTCATCTCTACCCCTCCCCCCCACCTCCCTTCCCCCATCATCAGCGCCCCCCCCCAAGTCAGCTCTTCTCCTTCCTCCACACTCCAGGTCCTCTGGATACTGAACTGACCATCCTTCTCCCCCAGACCACCCCGGGGGCCTCGCGGGCGAACATTGACCATGACCCCCCCCCGCCTTCCCCTCCCCCACTCTAACGGTTCCCCCCCCTCCGCGCACACTCACCATGGCGGGGCACGGGCGCTCTGGGCACCGGAGGAGGAAGAAGAGGACAGGAAAGAGGAGGAGGAGGGAGGAGCGGGGGTCGCGCGGCGCTGGGAACGAGGCTCCGAGCGCAGCAGGGGGCACAGCTCCTGCCGGATCCGCCGCCGCCGCTGCGCGCTCGCGCCACTAGAAACTGCAGCGCGCGCCGCCGACAGCCGCCCAGCCCGCGCCTGCGCCTGCGCCCCGCCCGTCCGTCCGCCGGCCCCGCCCCCACCAGATGCCCTCCCTCCCCGCTTCAGCGCCGCACTGCGGTGCAGGATCCCTCCGCCCGCCCCATTCCAGCCCTAGTCAGTACGGCCCGAGCCGGATCTATCCTTGGGGTGGTGCGCACTCCCGCCCCCGTCCGCGGCCCAGGGACTATTTTCTCTGCGCTCTTTCAGCCGTAGCGGGCTTGGCGGAGGGGCACCAATAGTTCGTGCGTGACACGATTCTTCCCCCCCTCACCGTGTGAACTAAGCCGTCATTGGCCCGCAATGGCAGAGGAAATGAGAGGGGCTCGCCAATTGGTCCGAGGTTCCCTGCAATGCGTCAAGCCGGGTCGCGCCACCGCGTGGGGTCGGAAAGGGGGACAAGGAGAGAAAAGGGGTACGTTGGAAGGAGCGGACGTATCTCCCGGGAGGGAAGAGATAACAGAGAATTTTAAATTGTTGAAGAGACAAGGGCCTCTTTCTTCTAATCCAGACCCCTACGGGGAGATTGGGACGGTGCTGCAGGAAACGACCCCCACATTGCCCTCTTCCCACCACTTATATGGTCTGACCAGGAGGATGCCGTCATCACGCAGCTCCATCCTGGACTTGGGCTGGAGGGGTGGGGCCAAAGGGTCACGTGGCCAGGGAAGACCACGCCCCAGGGAGGAGAAAGGGGGAGACAGAGCTGGTTTTTCCCTTCCCCCATGCTCCATAACAACCCTGAGGCGAAGTAGGCCTGAAGGTTGCCGGCCCCACTGTGCTGTGTCCCCAGCGTAGGGATGGACCTCCCAGAACCCTGGGGGTGTGAGATCAAGACGTCTCCTCCACCACAGGATCCCAAAACACTTAACCAGCTCCAGCATCTTATAGAGTTGGTGCAACGTCAGAGCCGGGAGGCTCTGAGAACATGGGATGTCAGAGCTGTGGGGTGAATCTAGAGCAAGGCGTGTCAGAGCTGAGGCGAATCTAGTACAAGGAATATCAGAGCTTGGGGGGCATTAGAACAGGGAATGTCAGAGCTGGGAGGGCCCTCAGAGCAGGAAATGTCAGAACTGGGAGGTGACTCTAGAACAAGGCGTGTCAGAGCTGAGGCGAATCTAGTACAAGGAATATCAGAGCTTGGGGGGCATTAGAACAGGGAATGTCAGAGCTGGGAGGGCCATCGGAGCAGGGAATGTCAGAGATGGGAGGTGACTCTAGAACAAGGCGTGTCAGAGCTGAGGCGAATCTAGTACAAGGAATATCAGAGCTTGGGGGCATTAGAACAGGGAATGTCAGAGCTGGGAGGGCCCTCGGAGCAGGGAATGTCAGAACTGGGAGGTGACTCTAGAGCAAGGCGTGTCAGAGCTGAGGCGAATCTAGTACAAGGAATATCAGAGCTGGGGGAGGTGGGGCTTAGACCATAGAATGTCAGAATTGGGGAGGGGGGCTTAGACCATGGAATGTCAAGACTGGGAGGGGCCTTAGAACATGGGATATCAGAGCTGTGGGGTTAATCTAGAACAAGGAATAGCAGAGAAGGGGCTTAGACCATGGAATGTCAGAACTGGGAGGGCCAGAGCTGGGGACGAGTCTAGAACAGGGACTGTCAGCTGGAGGGAACCTAGAGCAGAGAATGTCAGAGTTGGGAATCG